TTTACAGCTTCTCTTTGGCATAGATGAACTACCAGCATCACTACTCTTTTTCTTTGGGGCCATTATTATTATTACTATTTTAAATTATATAAGTTTCATCAAACCTTTTTTTAAAAAAATATGTCTTTATTGATTTCAGAGAGAGGAAGGGAGAGGGAGAGAGAGAAACATCAATGATGAGAGTCATTGATCGGCTGCCTCCTGCACGCCCCCTGCTGGGGATCGAGCCCAAAATCCCGGCATGTGCCCTGACTGGGAGTCGAACCTCGATCTGGATCCTAGGGCGATGCTCAACCACTGAGCCACACCGGCCGGGCTGGTGTTATTATTAAAATAAGGGTTATCTGAACACAAGCACCGTGGTACCAAGACAGTGGGTCTGATAACTGAGACGGCTCCTAAGTGACCAATGGGTGGGAAGCATCAGTGCCATGGCGACGCTGGACAAAGCTGGTTCTCACACCAGGCAGGAAGGAGCAGGAGAGCATGAGGCTTCATCCCGCTGCTCAGAGCAGCATGCAATTTAACATTTATGCATTGTTTATTTCTGCAATTTTTCATTTAATATTTTCAGATCTTGGTGGACCACGGAAAACTGAAACAGTGGAAAGCAAAACTGTGGATCAAGAGGGACTATTGTACGTAAAAGTGCCTATTTCACCACACGTTGGCCAACAGAATGTTCTTTGTGATTCAATGTTGTCAGACTGGGGAAAAGCAACATTTCAATGTAATTTTAATTTGCATTTATCATTGCAAGATTTTTTTTCCCTATGATTAAGCACTGTTTGGATCTTTTGTCAGAATGATCTGTTCTTTGCCCATTTTCTGGGGCTCCTGGATTATTTTCTTATTGATTTCTAGGAGTGCATCACATATTGGGGAGATTAGTCCTTCTGATGAGACCTGAAAATGTCTGTCCCCTGTTGAAAGTGACTCTTGATGCTGTGTATATTTTTCCGTGTAAGTTTGTCATCATTATGTAGTCAAGTTTGTCTTTTCTTTCCCGCTGCCCCTAGATTTTCAGTCATAGTTTGAAAAGAAGCACCATTTAGTGAAATGAGATTTAGGTCACTTAATTGGAGGCTAACCACAGTCCTCCCAGGCAGGGAAATTAAAATTTCTGCCAACAACTTAAAATGCGTTTACGCTTCAGGGAGGAGGGAGAAGACTGACTGTGATGATCTGACCCTGTGATTGTATGTGCCTGAGACTTCGTTTCTCCAGCTCTCCATGTCNTCCCGGCATGTGCCCTGACTGGGAGTCGAACCTCGATCTGGATCCTAGGGCGATGCTCAACCACTGAGCCACACCGGCCGGGCTGGTGTTATTATTAAAATAAGGGTTATCTGAACACAAGCACCGTGGTACCAAGACAGTGGGTCTGATAACTGAGACGGCTCCTAAGTGACCAATGGGTGGGAAGCATCAGTGCCATGGCGACGCTGGACAAAGCTGGTTCTCACACCAGGCAGGAAGGAGCAGGAGAGCATGAGGCTTCATCCCGCTGCTCAGAGCAGCATGCAATTTAACATTTATGCATTGTTTATTTCTGCAATTTTTCATTTAATATTTTCAGATCTTGGTGGACCACGGAAAACTGAAACAGTGGAAAGCAAAACTGTGGATCAAGAGGGACTATTGTACGTAAAAGTGCCTATTTCACCACACGTTGGCCAACAGAATGTTCTTTGTGATTCAATGTTGTCAGACTGGGGAAAAGCAACATTTCAATGTAATTTTAATTTGCATTTATCATTGCAAGATTTTTTTTCCCTATGATTAAGCACTGTTTGGATCTTTTGTCAGAATGATCTGTTCTTTGCCCATTTTCTGGGGCTCCTGGATTATTTTCTTATTGATTTCTAGGAGTGCATCACATATTGGGGAGATTAGTCCTTCTGATGAGACCTGAAAATGTCTGTCCCCTGTTGAAAGTGACTCTTGATGCTGTGTATATTTTTCCGTGTAAGTTTGTCATCATTATGTAGTCAAGTTTGTCTTTTCTTTCCCGCTGCCCCTAGATTTTCAGTCATAGTTTGAAAAGAAGCACCATTTAGTGAAATGAGATTTAGGTCACTTAATTGGAGGCTAACCACAGTCCTCCCAGGCAGGGAAATTAAAATTTCTGCCAACAACTTAAAATGCGTTTACGCTTCAGGGAGGAGGGAGAAGACTGACTGTGATGATCTGACCCTGTGATTGTATGTGCCTGAGACTTCGTTTCTCCAGCTCTCCATGTCCACCTCCCTTGACCTTCCCCTGACATCTGAAGTCCACAAGGACACGTGTGGTCTTCCCTGGCCCATTCCCATTCAGAAATGCGCTGCGCTCCCAGCTCCCACTTTGCCCATATCTAGGGGGGCACAGCTTCTGGGCAGCTCGAGGTCAGTTCTCCTCCAGCCCACCCTACAAGTTCCAAGTTGGGCCACAGGGACAGAGTCTAGTGTTAGGGGGTCTCATTCTCGGATGAAAGGTGTAACCTCCGAGTGTCACAGCCTCGGGGGCAGGCCCAGGGTAGAAAGGGGCTTCCCATTGCTGGCAGGGCGGCTCCCCCTATGATGACAGCATGCAGAGAGGCGGGCACCCAGCTAGGAAGAAAACCAGCCTCTGAGACAGGCAGTCTTGCAAAGACACCCATGCCTGAGGAGCTAAGGATATCCTGAAGAAAGGGCACGGGGTGAGGAGGGAGACCCTTGACTTGGTCCGGACCCTGCCCCCCCCACCTCACACCATGGGGGGGGCTGATGTCACCGCCCCCAAACTCCAACACCCTCAAAGGACATCTGCTCTGGTGCTTTCCCTAGGGCTCCGAGGGGCGGGCCCATGGGAGGGGCGTTTTTGTACAAAGCTGAAACATTGTGGGGACAGGGGGCCACGGTGATTCAACTCTACCGGAAGCCTTTACAAAAACCTCTCTGCCCATCCCAGCCCCACAGTCCTTCCACTTTTCTCCAGGATCACAGACCCAAGGGTGGCTTGGCTTAGAATGCCTCCACCTCACCCCTGTGCACCTGTCCAGCCAAGGCCAAGGGCAAGGACAGGCCTGGATCAGAACCAAAGCCTCCAGGCAGAGAGCCTGGATGTAAGAAGGATGCCTCAGGGGGCTCACAGGGAAGGTCTCACCTTCATCCGGAACAAGGTCAGTGGGAAGGTGCATGGAAAGTGACCCTTTCTCTGAAGAAAGAAGACAAGGATACCCCGGGTTCTGGGACCCTGCCCTCCTCTCCAGCCCACATCCCTTTGAGGGACCCTCAGAGACAATGGAGAAAGGGGCTCTAGCCACACTCCGTGGCCCGGGAGTCAAAGTCCAATATGTCCTTCTGAGCTGTATCTATAGAGCAGGGGTGAGGGCAATTAGTCTGAACCCCAGAGTCCTCCAGACACCAGCCAGGGCCCCTCCTCTCCACGCCTCAGATCTGTTTTCCTCCTTGCCCCATGTCACTGTGCGAACACCCAAGTTTTCTTTGGAGAAGGCACCAGGCTCACTGTTGTAGGTAAGACATGCTCCCGGTCTTCCCCGGCCCTTGTTAGGGGACGGTGGGTCCAAAGGGCGCATTTAGAGTGGTCCTGTTCTGATGTGCTAACTATGACCTTACCTTCGGACCAGGGACCAAGCTGACAGTCGTGGGTAAGGCTGGGGTCTCCAAGGGGTCCTGTGGAGGGGGGACTCTATTCCCAGAAAAGTGGTTGGGAAGGGATTACTCAGTTCCCAGGTCATGGCTGAGGAGACACCATCCTTGTGTCTGCGAACAAGTTCAGAAGAGGGTCCCTACAGGGCACATCCACCCAGCCACCTGCGGTCCCCTGTCAATTCAGAGCTGAGCCTCGGCGGTGGGCAGAGAAGGGAAAGGAGGTGGCGCTGCCCCTCTGAGTAGTTACCTGGATGGGATGCCAGGAGAAGGCCCAGAAGGCCACTAATGATCTCTGACAGCGGCCCATCTTCCCTCGCTGCCAGAGGCGCATATCATTCCTTGCTCTGGATTTCGCAGCGGGTCAGTGCATCTCTTCCCTGTGTCCCCGGGCCAGCTCTAGAAGCGTATGCGGGTGCCTGAGGCAGGCTGGGGGCCCTATAAGGAAATGCCACTTGTGCTCAGCAGATAAGGCGGGTTTTGAAATGGATGCAGGAGGCCGTGTTCTGGAAACACCGTCTATTTTGGGGAGGGCAGCCGGCTCACTGTTGTAGGTAAGCGAGTCGGGGCTGGAGGGCTGGGAGCCTGCAAGGAGGGGCAGGGACCCAGATGGAGCCTCCGTCTTGGGGGCTTAGGTGAAAGCGTGTTTTTATCTGAAAGATCTGAGTTCTTGTCTTGATGCAGACAGGAGGGGCCAGGCTCCATCTGCAGTAACTCTGTGGACTGGCTGTGCCAAGCCTGGGTTCCCTTCCCCAGGGACAAGTAGCCTCAGCTAGGAAGGGGGTCCCCTGGTCCCTCTCCTGGGTCCTCGGCGGGCACCCTGTCATGGCCATGGGAGATGGAGAGCCTCTGGAGGTAGAGATGCCATAGTCCTGCTGTTTCCGCCCCTTGCACAGACAGGGCGGACACAGGAGAAGGGGGAGATGGAACAGGCCTGAATTGGTCCTCTTACCGCAGCATTTCAGGTGGCACAGTTGTCCCCCCTCCACCTCCTGGAGCTGAAATTCTGCTGAGAAAAGGGAGGGAGAGCTGGCCGGTGAACTAGGGAGGAGGAATGGGAGGCCGCGGGGGCAGTTTTCCTATCAGGCCTTAGTGCTGTGTGAACAATGAAAAGTTGTTTTTCGGCAGTGGAACCAAGCTCTCTGTCTTGGGTAAGTAGCAGGCTTCCCTGGAGAGAGTGCAGGGTAAGGTTGGAGTTTCAGAAGGGCTCCTTAGAGAGGACAGGGCTGAGAACGCAGCAGGGAAAAGGCTCAGAGTGTGGGCGAGAGGAGCCGAGCCCCCGGGGTGGATGCTGGCTTCTGGAAGGAAGGGCCCCGAGCCCGCGCTTCTGGGGTTTCCCACATGCCTGTCGTGCTGTGGGGCAACCAGGCGCAGCATTTCGGAGCTGGGACTCGACTCTCTGTCCTAGGTAAGGCACAGGACCAGGTGGAGGGCCACTGTCCGTGGACCTGGACTCTGTCCCTCCTCCCAATTCCAGAGGAAGGGGGCTGAGTAAACTCTTTTATCCCTGGGGGGCTTCAGTCTTCAGCCCATAATGTGCCTCCTTACCCTTCTTACATAGGGGGATATGCCCCCCAGAGCCTGTTTGTCTTCCTCTCCCTGTTCCATGCCTGGGTCTTCCTCCTAATGGAATCTCTCTGCACCAGAGCCCTGAACCCAGGCAGGGAAAGGTGCCCTCCCCGCTCCCAGGGAGCTAAGACTTGCCCTCTGGCAGGAGGCCCCGGGCGGGTTTTACCACAGCCACCTGCCGCTGTGTTCCTATAATTCGCCCCTCCACTTTGGGAGCGGCACCAGGCTCACCGTGACAGGTATGGGGTCCCACTGCGGGCTGGGGGGTGCCTGTGTTTGGCCATGATGATCCGTCCCAGGGAGGGCCGTGGGGAGCAAGGACAGGATCAGGGCTGCCCTTCCCTCCTGGGGCTCAGGGGCCTCTCCGCCCTGCCCGATCCTCCCCTCGCTCCACCGAGTTTGTGGCCGTCTCGGGCGTGGGCTCCAGGCGTGTTTTCTCTGCCTTCTTCCTACAGTTCCCCGGACTCCTTCTCTCATCTCTCCTTTTTCAATGGCTGTGCTGTTTTACTTTCCCTTTCTTTTCTGACCTCCTGTTGCGTTGTGGCGAGTAGCTCTGTCTTCCCCGTGTCCATCCTCCCAACACCTACCTCCAGCTCAGAACTCTGTCCCTGCCTCCCTGTCACCCTCCTTCCCTGTCTTGATGACTCTCCAAAGACCCCTGTGTGTCTCCCTGCGCCGGTTCCAGGGCTCAGGAGGCAGTGGGGGACCAGACGGGTGAGGCTGAGGTGGTTTGAGGAGTGGTCCTGAGCCCCGAGGGCAGATGCCCATGTCAGGGCATTGGGGGGACTGCAGGGGAGGGACACTGTGCTTGGCGGGGGTTAGAGGAGATATGTCCGAATTAACCACTACAACTGGAAGCGTATACCATCTTCCAACAGGCAAGGCACAGAGAAGAGTAGGCAGGAGGCCCCATTTTCTCGAACCTCTGGCTCTATGCTGGGATTATAGGGTAAGGGGCCCGTGCTTGGAAGGAAGCAGGTCGTCGGGAGGAGTGGGGCAGGGATCGATGGGTCTGGGCTGGAGATACAGACAAGGCCGGAGGAAGCGGGCACATGGGTCCCAGGTTGGTTGGTTGGGTCAGGCTTTGTCCTGCAGGTGGGGGATGCATGTCAGGGAGTGTCATGGAAATTGGAAAGTTCACATCTCCGGGGTTCAAAACACCTGGGTTCAGGGGCAGGGGGCTCATGCAATTAGAAAGTGAGGCGTATAAAACAGAGACGACAATGGCAGCTCCTGGGGTCCTTAAACTGTAAGGGGCTGACTTCTGTGAAAATCCTTTGAGAAGGACTCGCCTCTAGGGAACCATCTTTCTCATTCCCGTGGTTTATTATCACTGCGTCACAGTTTGCCTTTATCCAAACCCGTGTCTCAACTTTCCCATCAGAAACGTGTCCCAAATTTGGATAAAGTGGAGATATCTGTGTTTGCCATAGTTCTGCTCCAAAAACATACTCCCGTGGTCAAAACAGAGCCAAATACAGGGTGCAGTAAATTCTGACAAAAAGGAGGGTGCTTGAAAGATGGATGTGGTTCCTTCTCTCCCTCTGTGTGTTCAGTGGGGAAATGCCTTCAAACAAGTCAAGAAATCCTGTCTGTCCCATCTGTCAGGATGTAAATAGGTCCAGGGGTTTATAATATGCAAGCTCTGAATAAATGACCTTCAGATTTTGAGGATTTGTTTCCTACCCAGCAGCCACGTTCTTACTGCTTTTAAGGATGCCTAGCTTGGCTGTGAACTGGGATGCTTGGCTGTGAACTGGGATTCTAAACCTGGCAGGGGGCTTGCTGGGCACTGGAAAAAAAGTAAGGCTCAACCCAAGATACTCTCTCACGAGATGACAGTCATCCTGGGCAAGCTGCCACACACACCCTGTGTGCCCCAGCGTAGGAAGAAATGTGGAACATCTGAGAAGACAATAGTCAGAGGCACCTTGGCTCCTCAAAGCAGGTTACACATTAAAAATAAAGAAAAATAAAATTGAGTTGGGGCTAGTATATAGAAATAAATTCAGCTAAATGCAATGGGGAAAGTGTCTCCTCTAGGCAAGAAAGGCTAATTCGTATATGTGCCATCAGCCAAGCAGACAAACGCGTACACCTTACAGAGCAGGGCCACGCTAGTTAGAAAAACTCGATTTAGTCCCTGGGGTTTTGTTGCTAGTGAGAATCTTCTGCCTCAAAATCCAGGCTCATTCACCTCCGCTATAACCGCTTCTAAGTCTCAAAGATTACATTGTGCACCAAAGAGGGCTTTGAACAGGACCAAGGATACACAGATACAGCCTTCTGACAGATCATCAAGCAAGGCCCTGACCATGAGACTTTGCAATGAAATCCCAGAAAATTGGGACATAATGTCCCCTTAGGGAGATGGAAGAGATAGTCACAGTGTGTATCCATGGGGTGACTGAGAAGGACATGGAAAAGTTGAGGGACAATGACAACAGAGACTGGGAGGGTGACCCCAAACAGACAGGACCTACTACATAATCCTGCTTTATGATGACCTTCTTTCTTGGCACACACACACACACACACACACAGCCCCGACCAAACCCAGGCTGCCCTCAGACCAGCCCTGGTGCCCAACCCCTCTTCCCTTCCAGACGACGTGACCAAGGTGAAACCCCCCACGGTCACCGTGTTTGAACCGTCGGAAGCAGAGATCAGCCGGACCCAGAAGGCCACGCTCGTGTGCCTGGCCACGGGCTTCTACCCCGACCACGTGGAGCTGAGCTGGTGGGTGAACGGGAAGCAGGCCAAGAGCGGGGTCGGCACAGACCCTCAGCCCTACAAGGAGCAGCCCGACCGCAGCGACTCCACCTACTGTCTGAGCAGCAGGCTGAGGGTCTCTGCCTCCTTCTGGCACAATCCTCGCAACCACTTCCGCTGCCAAGTCCAGTTCTACGGGCTGGACAGCGACTACAAGGACTCTTGGAAGGAGAACCGCACCATGCCCGTCACCCAGAATGTCAGTGCTGAGACCCGGGGCAGAGCAGGTGAGTGGGGCCTGGGAGGCTCAGGCAAGGAGCGAGTCAGGCCAGAGAGAAAGGGGGATCCAGGTAGGAGGCCACAGAGACCAGATTCAGGGGAAAAAAGGAGTGGGGTAGGAAGAAGAAAGCCCACCATGAGGACAGGGCACCTCGGACTGGTTCCTCCCCAGACAGCACAGCCTCGAAGCTGGGCCCCTTACTACTGGCCCAGGTGGCTCAGCATCTGCATGTTGTGTCCCCTTGAGAGCTGCCCCGTGTAGCCCAGGAGTTTCAAGGACACTGTGGCCACATTGGCTCACAGGCAGACAGTGCTAGACTCCTCTGGTCTGGGCCTGCAACCTCTGTTGACTACAAGGCTGATTTAGTGTCTCATCTGCTCATCCATTTCCCTCTCTTCTCTCTTTCAGAGTGTGGCTTCACCTCGGGTAAGTGGCCCTCTGCCTCTTTGTCTCCATCTCCCATGGTCTTTGGAACCGGAGAATGGAGAATCCATGGACCCTGGGGTGGTGGGGGGCAGACATATCTGCTCAAAGGCACCTACCTGCTTTCCTTTCCTGCCAACAGAGTCCTATCAGCAAGGGGTCCTGTCTGCCACCCTCCTCTATGAGATCCTGCTGGGGAAGGCCACGGTGTATGCGGTGCTGGTCAGCGCCCTGGTGCTGATGGCCATGGTAAGGAGGGGTGCAGGGTGGGCAGGCAGTTTGGAGGTGACACTCAAAACACAGCAACTCAGAGCCAGGAGTATAGGGACACTGCCAGGACCAGAGGTGGGCAGAAAGGAAGAGGGGCTTTACCCACAAGCCTTAGAAGATGCCCTGCACCTCCAGGTCACAGTGGAAGAGCTGTGAGAGGAGGAGAGGCTGGGGTCACCTGAAACCCAATTGTGAGGTTCTGAGGAGCCCTGCTCATCTAGTCAGTGGGCCAGCCTTCTTCCCAGGCCCCACCACTGCAGGTAACTCCAACACCTTCTCCTCTTCAGGTCAAGAAGAAGGGCTCCTGATGCCAGCGCAGAGGTGGAGCCTGGAACTTCTAGCCTGTTATTGCCTGGTATGGATTCTCCTGTTGCCATCCCTGACCAGTGCTTCTGAAGAGCTGTTCTCATCTCTCACCTCATCCGTATATATACCCCTACATACTTGCACAGCTGGACACTTGTGACCAAAATCTCCCTAACCCCGGGGGCCCCTGCTATGCCTAAACTTACTGAACCAATAAAAATGGCCTGTTCTGGCTTGATTCTGCCCTCAGCGTCTACATATCTCCTTTGTCCATCTCTAAACTCTCACGGATAGAAATAAGATGTAGTCAAGGAAAGTGCAGTCCACTCAGGGACCCAGGGACCCAGCCTGTGGCTGGCACTCTCCTTGTCAGAAACTTTAAAACTGTGAAAGGTGGTGATGGGACATGAAGAGGCTTACTCAGAGCAGCCTAGAAAAAATGATGGTGATCGTAGGAATCTTCTGAACTACCTGGACAAAGGTGCTCTGAAGAGCTGACCTACCTAGGTATGCCCACCTGCCCACTGGCCAGTCCCCCTGGCTCACAAAGCCTGGTTTCGTGTGTGTCATCCCTGTTCCTGTCACCTGTCTCCCTGGGTACACTGCTTGTCTCCATTCATCAACCAGGTTCCTCAACTGAGAGGAGAATGCACTGACTTGGAGATTTATCCCAGCACCGTGCCTTCCAGTTAGTCCCAAACCTGCTTATAAATTTCTTTAGTGAACTAATGGGTGTGAAGATGTCCCTTGATCCTGCCTGGAAGGAGAGAAAATAAAGTTTCCCTAAAACCAAGGATCAGCCCTATAGCTCTTTCTACAAATCCTTCAAAAGCTCTTTGTTGTCTCACTGTCACCAGAGTGATGTCCAAAATCCTTAGGACAGCGTCTAAGACCCACGATTGTCCCCCACCTCCTCATTCCACACTCACCTCACTCCTCTCATCCCTGAGGCCACTGAGCAACTTGCTTCCAGCCACCTGCCTCCTCTACCTAGAATGTCCGAATGCTCTGACTCCTACTTACCCTTAAAGATTCAGCTCCGGTAGCTTCCCTGCAAGAGGCCTTCTCTGCAGCAACCTTGCCCTTTACTCCCTTGAGGCTGGGTTGAATATACACTATATTACACTATATTTTGCTATCGCAGTGCCCTATGCATACCTTCTCATGATACCACACTTGATGGAAACTACCCTTCACTGGTCTGCCAGCCCCAGTTGATGGTCAGCTCCCGATGACAAGGCTGTGTTTTATTACAGCATCCCTGGGATATGGCAGAGCACCCGGGCTCAGTGCAGGAACCCAATAAATTACCTGTGCATAAGTGAATGAACAAATGAATGAACCCAAAGGGACCCAGTTGGGGAGCGGATATCCCCGCGAGCCTGCCTGAAATAGCCCTGTACCCTGCCACCTACAAGACTGCAGAACCCAGTCTTCGCTCCATTGCAAGACATGCATGCATTCAAATATGTATGCATATATACATGCACATGTATGTGCATACATATATACACAGTTACATGCACGCATGCATGTACACACTCATTGAGCACATCAATTGCAATGTTCTGCTAGGAACTTTCAAGAAAACAAAAATATCCAGGTCACAGTCCTCAAGCTTACCTGTTCCCAGAGGGGATAATTCATGAATAGAAATAGTTGAGATACAAGACGATGCTTTGAAATAGCCATGTAAGCTGTCTACTAAAATGCAGTCAGAGGCTAGTGCTCAAATTTCGGACTGGGGTCATCAGGAAAGAGTCTGAAAAGCTGAAAAACCCTTCAAAGGAAGAATTGGTCTCATTAGCGACCTGGGAGAGTGGTCCTGACAGTCAGAGGCATAAACAAAAGCCGGAACAACAGGGCCGGGTACTTCTGGGCACCTCCCTGTAGCTGGGTGCAAGGTTCAGAGACAGGGGTCATAGAAGGTAAGGCTGAAAAGCAGATGGATTGGCATGAGGCCTGGCACATAGTAAGTGCTCATTAAATATCTGTGGAATCAAGGAAGGCTATTGAGCTTGGACTTTGTCCAGGGAGCAATGGGGAATTAATTACAGAGGTTTCTGGGCTGTCTGTCCTGCTCCATGGATCCCACCCTTGGCTCCTCCCACCGCTCCTGACTACAAATATGCAGGTGGGCACATGGTGAGCCTCAGAGGGGAGACCTGATGACATACATAGGAGACCTCCTCGGAGTGGTGTACAGTTCCAGGGAGGGGCCTCTCTGCCCCCAACCCCCACTGCACCGGGACTTTCCCCAAGCCCCTCCCCACCCTAAATGTACTCTGAGTTGGTCTTTCCGCAGCCCCACTCAACCAGGCCAACCTCTGCCACCTGGGCTTCCTGCCTCTGCCCCGCGGTTGGGTGAGGGGGCCAGGAGGGAAGAAACCTTTTTGTATCATGCTGTAGCATCGTGGCAGCTGGGGGGGGGCACGATGATACAAGTGGAAGAGGTGCTTTTACAAAAAGCCCTGCCTTAGAAAACACGCCCACCCAGCGCAGGGAATGCAGCTCCCGGATGGGGAAGGTAGCTGGGAGAGGTCTGCGGGGCTCCCCGAGGAGGTCTCGCAGGGACCCTGACTCAGTGAACACCTCTGCATCTCCTTGCTCCAGACCCAACTTCCCAGAATGCCAAGGACCAGGGCAGAAAAGTGGGGTCCTCTTTCAGCAGGACTCATAAAACCTACCCTTGGACAAAGTACTACTTGCACATGCGTTACTCATCAAGAACTCACAGCAATCATATGAAGAAACCAAGACTTTGGGGGGGGGGGGTTACAAGTAGCCTGAGGCAGGGCCTAGCCTCGAACCCTTCCCAACTCCAGCGTGGGCCACCATCACGCATACCCTGTAGATTTCACAGCCACTGTATTGTCCCCACACCAAGTTGACTTCCTCTGCAAGTTGGGGGTGACCTCATGCAGTGTCCAGATTCCCATGTCCAGCTAGTGCTAGAGGTGGGAAGAGAGAAGCCAGGAAGGAGAAGGAGGGTGGCCCTCAGACTGGGCCAAGGGAGGTGGGGAAGTGGTGGTGGTGTGGGGGGGGTTCTTGGCAGCCCCTTCCCACTGTGCTCCTATGCTGAGCAGCACTTCGGGCCAGGGACCCGGCTCACGGTGCTAGGTAAGACCCTGCTCCAGGTGGGCCGCAGGGTGGGCTGCTCCACCTGGACAACCCCCTGACCCCTGGCCCTGTGGGGATGGGTGCTGGACCCTCCGGGGAGGCCCAGGTCCGGGAAGGTGGGGTTTGCGCCTCGGTCCCCAGGGCTGTGCGAACACCGGCCAGCTGTACTTTGGGGAAGGTTCCAAGCTGACCGTGCTGGGTAAGGGGGGCCGCTGGGGCCCAGAGCGCTCCGTGGGGAAGGTGGGCAGAGGGGGGGCAGCTGCCCAGCTCACCGGGGCTGTGCTCGGGGGCAGGGCGGCGCCTGGGCCGGGGTCTCCGGGTGCAGAGTGAGCTATGGAGCGAGCGCACAGGGTGGCCGGGGACCTGGCTGAGTCCGGGGCAGCAGCCGAGGGCAGCGCCGGGTTTTTGTCCTGGGCCTCGGGGCTGTGAGCACAGATACTCAGCATTTCGGCCCAGGCACCCGGGTGACCGTGCTAGGTAAGCGG